ATCTTTATTTGCAACTTTTTGAGAAAGTGCCACAATGCTTTCCACAGTGGCTGCACCGTTTTACACTCCCACCAACAGTGAATAAGGGGAAGTTGCAATCTTAAATAGGTACCTTCCCCCCTGCTCTGGGTGGTGGCTATCCAGTGCATGAAGGTCAGCCTCTGTGAGCCATGAATGGTAAAGGCTACCTCTACAGCTCAGGTGTTGTCACTGTAGGAGGCAACTATTAAGGAGTCTGTATTTGAAAACTACTACATGATCCATTCTTCCACACCATACCATCAGCAAGAATTAGGACTCGTGTGGTTTCTGGAACTCAATAAAGAAGGTTAAATTGTGATAGAGAATAGAGTGAAGAAAACCAAGCCCTCATCACCTTTTGTATCAAAATCTACTAAGTGTGTACTATGTCCAGAGAGTCATTGTTACATGAAATTGTAGAAAGACAAGGACACTCTAGTGAATCAAGCGCCAATATAGCTGAGAACTCTTCTCTTCTGCTTATTCTCATCTTTCTTCTTTCCCATTCACTTCCAATAAATCCACCCAACAAATGGAAAATAAAATGGCAATGCAGGACCCAGTAGCTAAGATTCTGCACTCAAAATCTTCCTTTGTGTAGAACAAGAAATCCAACCAGAGCTTGCCTGCTGCAAGGTAGTAGAACACATAATAATTAGCACACAAAAAAGCAAATGAAAAAAGAAGTCAATCAATCAAGACTACACAAACACTTTAAAGTAACCATGTTTGTTATTAACTGAGAGCTAAATGTAACAGTGGCCTGACTGCATCAAAGGTAAAGTAAAATTTCTATCTTAAATTAAAAAAAAAAAAAACAAACAAGAGCTGGACATTGACCCAGCAACCTCAATCCTATGAGAAGGTAGAAATGCAAGTAAAACCTAGTCAATAATGTTTCTGGTAGCACTTCTACAATAGCCAAAAGGTAGAAGCAATCAAAATGTTTACCAGCTGATGATTAGAGAAACAAAATGTGTTTCATACAAATATGGAATACTCCCTAGTCACTAAGTGAAGACTTCAGAAGTCCAGAGGTAAGTGGCAACAAGGATGAGTCTTGAGTAATTTGTGAAAAGACAAATACTGTATGTCATCATTTATATAAAACAAGCATAATGAACTCATAGTGACAGTACATAATAATACAACCGTGAAAAGCCTTGTCTGGTCGTATGCCACTCTCACAATCTTTGCTATGTCTGAGCACACTCCTGAAGACTGTCAAGCTACCTCATTGGAAGTCTTCCAATTTTTCCATGATCCTCTATTCGACAGAGCACGAGGTTGCTCTTTTGGAACTGACTGGTCCCTCCTAATTACATAACTAACTAACGTAAAGAACATTCTGGCTGTACTACACGTTTTATCATTGTTGTTGTTGGTATATTATTAATAATAATAATTTTAATGAAAGTTTAGAGAGATTTTGGATTTCCACTCATTCATTGTTGCACTTTTCTCCCTGCCTACCCTTCCTCCCCAGTTCGCTCTTCTCTTTGAAAAGTAAAATTCTTTCATTGTTATACAATACCCCCTGCTCCCACCCCCCCCAAGTCCATTCCACTATGCAGCCTTCATTCTGGACTCCTGTCATGACAGTAATACCTAATCATATATCCCTTTTAAACAGTTCTCTCCCTCATCTGTTCCAATGCAGTATACATAATTTATCCAGCTTTTCTCAGTCTTACCCCAACCCTGATGTCAGTCCTGTTTTACAACAGTGGCACCATTCAGTAATTGTCCTTTTGTGACTGAGATATTTCACTCAGCATAATGTCCTCCAGCGTCACCCATTTTGTATAATATGTCATGAGTTCCTTGTTTTTCAATGCAGCATGGTATTCCATTGTGTGAATATACCACAGCTTCTACACTTTTTACAATGTAGATTTGTTTGTTTTTCTGTCAGCCCATTCAATACTCTGCCAACACCATCATTCAGATGCATCAGATATCTAGAAACCAAAGATTAACAAAGGCTGCCTGGGGGCGGGAGGGAGGCAGGCACTTTTTGCTTGCAGGGCAGTCAGTTTACATTGATAGTGGTGCAATGATTTGAAAAAGAATAATGAGAATGGTTACACAACTTGAAGAATGTAATCGATGTCACGGAATTGCGCATGTAGAAATGGTGCATGTCTTTACCACAACAAAATTTAAGAGCCTCATTAAATATATTTTATTATAAAGGATGGTTTCACTGTACACCTGAGATTCTTGTCTAGGTAGTTGCTTTTAGCTGTGATCTTCAGAACAGACTGACCTCTAAATCTGGGCCCAGTAACTTGGATATTTCTACTCAAATTCATCTTCCTGAGAGTCCACAAGCAAAAAACAAAAAAAGACTGCAAAAGCCATTTGCCTGACTTGCCCAGCCTTCTAAATCGGACTAGGGAAGTAAATCTTAGGTTGGGAAAACAAAGCTTAGTGCTTTATGTGCTATTCAGCTTCCAACTATATTAAGTAGGATAAACACAAATTTTCCAGTCAAATTAAAAGCAGAACAGGAGCTAATGGCAACAGTTTATCACAGCTGGATTGAAAGAATGCTAAGCCCTGAGGGTTTTGATCAGAAACAACAGTATCAGATTCCAGTGGGGTTTATGTGGGTGGCACTGAGGGCCTGGACCAGCACTTAAGAGTTTGCAGCAGCTGCCACTGTATTCACGAAAAGGCAGAGATATTTATGACGCCTAATAACAATATTTAACCTGTCACCTGTGTTTATCATTGGTTTGTAAAGGGGTTGGTGAGCTTACATTGTTGACAGCAAAGTGATTCTCAATGACAATAAAGGAAAATCATAACCAACTGTTTATGCTGGGTTCTTTGTTTGGTTTTTGGAATAGCTGATAAAATAAGAGGCATTAGTGAACCTAGAATTATTGTCATTATAATAAAAAAAAATCACTTTGATCCTTTTTTTACTAACTGTAAAGGAGACTTATTTTCAGTCTCACTGCTAAGCTGCACCCCCTGGTGCTGACTGAGGAGCAGGTGTGAGCTGGCCACTGGGGAGAAGTTCCCGGAAAGTGACGGCAGGAGCCAGCAACTTTACCCGCTGGGATTTATCCTGCAGTTGCCAAGGCAACAAGGCAGCCTTGCTAAGCCCCTGGAAAGACTGTGAAGGCACCCAAAGCTCTCAAGTTGGTATTTTTCCTCTGTCTGCCAGCTGCCTGGGCCAAATGAATCATCTTTCCACTGCGCAAGGCCATCCTGGCCTCCATGGGCAATTCCATCTCCTATAAATTGTGTGAAGCAGCCATCACTTAACCTCTCCAGACCCTGTAGAAGGAGACAACTGCATCATGTTTGAAGTGAAAACTTTAAGAAGGTGCATTCAAGGCCTGTGGCACAGTGCCTGGTACTCACGAAAACCTTAATAAGGATGCTAATTGTTACAATGTAAATACAATTTTTAATTGCCCCAAAAGCAGCAAAATATCCACTATTTAGCAGACTTACTCTTCAATCTGTAAGTCAAATCTTTCTGTATAGTGTGTAATTTTGAGGAGAGAAAAAAAAACCCTGTTGAACTAGGTTTTCATCAAATCTAGTTTTATCCCTTCTCCTTTATTAGCCACAGCTGAAAACTAAGTCCTTGAACCCAAAAAACTTGAAAAAGTTTTCTGTCAATTAGGATTTCCTCGGTCTAAACAATGACTTATTGGGTGCGTATGGAAAAGAAAGGTAGGAAAGGCGAGAGAGAAAGAGAAAGAACATGGGGAAAAGGATGACTAGCTGATCTCCACAACAGCCATTCCTACACTGCAGCCATCTCCACGTCCTGGCTGTACCTTCCGGCCACATTGGACTATTGTCTGTCACTGTGCATGCAACACTGTTCTGCTCAATTACCTTCAATGCCTCCCTACTGCCTTCAGGGTAGCATTCCTTCAAAACCTTCAACCTGTCCCCCAAACATACTCATCGTCACACCTCCAAGGCCTTGCTCACTTCTTCTATTTAGAATCCATTCCCTCTCCTCTTAATTTATCCAACTCTTGCTCTATCTTCCAAGACGACTTCAGGTCACCTTTCCCTAAGAACTCTTTCTGTGATATGATAAACTTTTCCTTCATTTGCTGCCTGAGTCTTTACTTGGCATTTAGTATGAAGATGTCCTGCTTTTTATTGTTACCCATCCAATTTTACGAACCATGGCACTTCTCAGGGACTACTGTGTACACACGATTGGCATTCATTAAGTCACAGGAAGGCATTTGATTTCTTCATTCAAAGGTAATGCTACTAAAAGACTTAATTCCTGGCTTTAAAGCAAAGGTTTCTCAACCTTCCATTATTTTCCATTAGCATGAATGATTCAGACCTCTGTCTGAATCCTCAGATTTAACTGTTCACATTTCCTTTTTCATTGGTGGAAACAATCCACCTATCACTTAACAAAAGTACAGTACCTGTTCCCTGCTCCGAGAGATCCTCTCTGACAGCAAATCTGAGTTGTTTCTTTCTTCTTCCAATTCCATTTCTAGTTGAGACACCTTGTCCTAAGAAGGAAGTCACAAACACAGTTCACATAACTTGCAATGGCTCGGGTTAGGAGCAAGGTCTGACCTAGGCCAATAAAATTCCAGGAGCATTAGGGCAAAGAAAGAGAAGAACGTGTCTAATTCTTATACTGCTCAAAGCAGAGATTTTCAAAATGATACATATTTTCACTTTTCAATACTGTAAAATATAATAGGATATATTACAGAAAATTTTAAAAATATATAAAAGGAAAAAAGTTTACCTCAAATGCTAAAATAAACACTAAGGATACTTTCAAATGTTTCAGTCAAGTCTTTCCCCCCACAAATCTGTAGCTGTAAACAGATTGACCTAGACAAGCTACCTGTTAAAAAGACAATGCAAAGGTTGAGACATTATCCAAGGTACGTTACTCTAAATGCTTTCATGATCAGGGAAATGTTTCACTTTCCTCTCGCCCAAGATTTCCAAGAAACTTGAGTAACAAAATCTGCAACACTCTTTTTTCCTCCTGCCTCTTTCTTCTAGGAAGCCTTATATATAGGCTATTGCCTCACTCTAAACCTGCATCAGGTCGACATGGAGGTGATGATAATGTGTGCACTGCATCAATGCTGACTCGTAACAATCTTCCATGGCTCTTTACAACTTCCTCCTAGTCAACTGTACTCTCCAATGATTACTAAGTTGGCCTCCCATGGAGTGGCTCGGGGATTTAAACCATTAACCTTCTGTTTGCGGGCACATTGTGCCATCAGGGCATCTTCAATATAGCAGTAGTGCTGGCTGATGCTGTTAAATCAACCATCACAAAAGAATTTAGCATCTGTATCGTCCTTGCTGCCTCCTAACATCCAAGAGTTGACCGGCAAGCTCTGGATGCCTCTGTTAGGCACCAAAATGAAAACTCACAGGACTCACGTCAATTACTAAAGTATCTGTAAATGGTCTTTCCTAGTTATCTAGAAAACTACACGGAAGTTGGGGAACTCTCCCAGAAGCTGAGAGCCTCAATGACCCAGTGGGATCAGCAGGGCCCTGCACAGGCACGTTGGGTTTTCTTAATGGTTCATGATCCTAGGAGCCTAAGAGCTGACTTCACTATTGTTGTTATGTGCCATCGAGTCACCTGTGACTAAGAGAAACCCTATGCACAATAGCTCGGAGCCCTGCCCTGTACTGAGCCATTCTCATTGTATCTGACACACCTACCCCAGTCACTACCAGTGACTGTGTCAAACCACCTCCTCCAGGGTCTTTCTCTCTTCTCCTCCGCCCTTCCAGGCATGATGTCCCTCTTTAAGGACAGATCTCTCTTGGTAACATGCCCAAAATATGTGAGACGGACCCTTAAAATCCTTGACTCCAAGAAGCTAACTGGTTTCACCCTCTCCAAACCATACCTGTACTAAAGCAAATTATCCTAGCCATGTTACTGCTTTTAGACTTTATACTCAATGAAAGGACATGCTCTTTTTATTGACAATTTTAGAAGGTCATGGTCAAGAGGGCAATCTTTACTCAGTGGCCTCTCTTCACAGGCTTCTTCCCTAAGATCTACACTGTCCAGGACCACGCAGGAGTGTCTGGAGGTGCTCTAGGACAGGTGTTTCACAGCACGGTGGTTTCAGGCTTACTTTCAGGTTATTACACCTAAAATAATTCTCTGACTTGATCTTAAAATCCCCAAAAACCCACTGCCATTGAGCTGATTCCAACTCACAGAGACCCTCCATCAGGTTTCTGAGGCTGTTAATATTTATAGGGAAAGCCTGGCAATCTTTCTCCCACAGAGCAGCTGGTAGATTTGAAATTCTGACCTTTCTGTTAACCACCTGATATGTTACAAACTAGGCCACCAAGGTTTCCTGGGCTGACGTTAGCTTGTCTTGAAATTACCACTCTTAAAGAGATCAGACCAAAACCAAATCAAACCCATGACATCAAGTAGATTCTGACTCACAGGACAGAGTAGAAGTGCTCCGTAGGGTTTCAAGAATGTAAATCCCTATGGGAATAGAGCACCTCATCTTTCTACCAGAGACCAGCTGGTGGGTTTGAATTACTGATCTTTCAGTTAGATTCCCAAAACTTAACCTACCAGGGCTCCTTAAAGAGATCGCAATTATGTGTGGCAATTCTACAAAATAATGAGAAAATATTAGCTAGGTTTTTCTGGACTCTAAAAGGAGACTGTCTAATAAAATCTTGAATAGTTGAAATATCACTACCTAGTTATAGAAGGCAACTAAGTCCCCTGGAGGTTTTAAAAAGTTATTGTTATTTATTTGCAAAGCTGAATCAGGAATTCCATTGACTTTTTATTCAAGCCAGCTCTCTTTGGCCTTGAGCACTGTCTTTTATCAAAACCAGGATAATTCTCATTTTTCTAGTAGTTCTAAGACTTATTTTTAAAGTATCTTTTCAAATTCTGTGTATATGTACACAGTGTTATGTGTATATAGGTGTTTCTCGTACTGCATTGGCTTCTTTCTTCAAAGTTACTCTTTTAAAAACTCAAATCTCATCATAATCAGTGTACTATTTACATTTAAATTCCATTTCATTACACTTTTCTAACATGTTGTGTTTTCACTGTGTCACACCTAGTGACGCCACTCAACATATATGAACTTCATGATACACTGTCGTAGAGTAACCCTTTGCCACTAGTTTTGCAAAGTCAGATAAAGTTTTAACGGGGGGGGAACCCAAAACAATGAGCCAGAGTGAAAAAGAATGGAGTATGTTGTAGGGCAGTGAAGCAGTAACTGTGCCCAGGAGTTAAGCAGTTTGGGGCCAAGTCAGAGCTGCGCCATTCTGTACCCATGTAGCAGAGCAATGGTGATTTGGTGGAAGAACTTGTGCTTTCTATGCGGGAAACCCGGGTTCAAGTCTCAGATGATAAATTCCAAGTGGAGCCACCGCCCCATCTGTCAGGGGCAGCTTGTGTGTTGCTTTGATGCTGACCAGGTTTCAGAGGAGCTTCCAAGCTAAGAGAGACTATGAAGAAAAATGGCGCTCTTCTATTTCCAAAAATCTGCCAATGAAAACTAGTGATGCTAACTTCTGGGGAGAGGTCGCTGCTGCTGTGTATCATTTCATTGCGCCCGGGGCAGCCCAAGAAAAGGTCAACTTGATGGCAGTTTACAACAACAGACATTTAGCAGTTTGTCTCCTTTGTAGCTAGAAGTACCTCAGCAAAACAAACAGCATGAGCTATCAGTGTGCCCTAATATAAAGTCACCCAGCCTCTCTGAGACTAAGAGCTGCTTCTTTCTCAAGAAAATGAGGACACCGGGCTAAATTATTTCTAAGATTCCTTTGGGCTCTGAGGTTCATGAGTCTATCCGCTTCTTTCCCCTACGTAAGAAATTACAAAGTTAACATCTGACTGTTCAGGAAAATAAAAACTGTAGAATTTCGAAAGGCAAAGAGGCACGCAGAGGGGTCGCCTAGTCATGTTCTCAGGCTCACTCCCCAAAGCCACCACCCTCCCAAGCTGGCTCTTCATAACTCTGACCACAGACCTCCATTTGCTTGACGAGTCGACCACGGTCATCCTTGAGGTGGCTCTTGGCTTCCAGTTCATACTCCAATTCCTTCAGTGTCTGTTCCAGAAGCTGCCTTTTTGTGAGAGCCTCCTCCTGAGATCTCTGGGAGTCCCGTAGCTCTTCCTCCATCAGGCACATCTAAAATGAGAAAGAGTTGGGGTAATTTCCTGAGACAAGATTCCAACAGACAGGGCACAGGGTAACTCGTTAAAAAAAATCATCTAGCAGACATCCCTCTGTACACAGGAGATCAGAGGACCTTGAGATCAGTTCTTACCTCTGTCTAGGCCTCAATTTCCTCTTCTCTAAAAAAGAAGGCCTTAGACTGGTCAGCATTATCCAGCTCCACATTGCAATTCATTGGGTTACAAATTCTATTTAGTAGACGTAGTCCAGAACTTTTAAATTAAACAGGACAGGAAGCAAAAGAACTATAAGCAAATATTGCTTTGTGAAACTTGTATATCTTTGTGTGGGTTTATATGTTACTAGGTATAATATGTTCCTTACTATGGGTTAAAAAGAAAATCACTTGAAAGTCAAGAAAATAGATAAGGACTTTACTAGAGTGTATTTATTGTCTACTTATATGTGCATTACTTAAAGAGGGGTCTAAAATTTAGGGGAAAGAAAAACTAAATTAATGACCTCAAAGCAATCTTCAGGCAGAAAAATAATGTAAATGTACACAATTAGGCGAAAACTACTGTTCCACAAAAGATATCGAAATAACTGTTGTCAAAGGTAACTCTGGTGGCATAGTCCAAAGGGAGGTACACTACAAACGCAAAGCATGCACATCTTTGCTAGCTCAAGTGTCCCAACAGCTCCAAGAGAGAACTGGCAGCCTCTGAAAACCGGCTGCAGGGTCAGCTATGAAAGGGTTTCTACTGGAAGAAGGCAATGAGTTTTTGAGAAAACTGTTACAATTTGCAGTGCTACTTTCAACCACAAGGTGGCACTGAATCAATAGTTTTAAAGAAAAACGTCTCAGACCAGCGCGTTTGATCCACTTCTCCAGAATTTACCTAAGAGCCCACGCACCACAAGTGGTTGTTGTTGTTAAGGGCTGAGTCAAGTATAACTCACAGCGACCCAATGAACAAAAGACCTTAACCCTTCTATCCTTGTGCCATCCTCAAACTTCCTAACACAAAAGAGCCCACTGTGGCAGTCACTGTGTCAATCCACCAGGTTGAAAGTCTTCCTTTCCTTTGCCGACCCTCCACTCTTACCAGCATCATGTCCAAGGAATAGCACCTCCTAGCAACATGCTCAAAGTATGTGAGGTGAAGTCTGATCATTCTTGACTCCAAAGAGCACTCCGGCCACACTCTTTCTAAGACATATCCGTTTGTTCTCTTGGCCATCCATATGATGCTCTTCCCCAACACCCCAACTCAAAGGCATCAATTCTGTCATCCATATTCATTATCCAGTTCTTAGATGCATAGCAAGTGATCAGAAAAACTATGGCCTGAATCAGACACACCTTAGTCCTCAAACTGACATCATTACTCCTCAACAATTTGGAGAGGTCCCTAACTACAGATTTTCCCAGTGCAATGTGTCTCCTTATTTCCTAATTGCTGGTACCATGGGTGTTCATTGTGGAGCCAAGCAAGATGAAGCTGTTGACAATTTCAATCTCCTCTTCATCCATCATGTCTATTGGTCCAGTGCTAAGAATCTTTGTTTTCCTGATGTTGAGATGCAATCCATACCGAAGGCTACATTCCTTGATCTTCTACAAGTGCTTCAAATCCTCCTCACTTTCAGCAAGCAAAATTGCATTAGCTGCATAATTCAGGTTATTGATGACTCTTCTGATCCTGATGCCACACTCTTTTTCATAGAGGCCAGCTTCTCATTAATTTGCTCAGCATACAGATTGTGAACAGGTATGGAGATAGAATACAACCGTGACACACTCCCTTCTTAATTTTAGCCACACTGTATTCCCCTGCTCTGTTCGCTTAACAGCCTCCTGGTCCAGGTACAGGTTCTGCATGAGCACAATTAAGTGCTCAGGGACTCCCCATTCTTCTCATTGTCAGCCACAACTTATTATGATCCACACAGTCAAATGAAGTCAAAAGAAGGTGGAAGGAATACACAGAATCACTGTATCAGAAAGAACACAATGACCCTGAAAAATTTCAGGAAGTACCATATGATCAGGAGCTGCTGCAGGTACATGGCAGATATTCCTTAAACATCTGTGAGAACTGATGTTTTGTTCACTTTTGTCTCCTTTGGCTTCTACATTTTATTCCATCTACCTACCTACCTTATGGTAAGAACTTTTGTTTTCTTGCTGTTGTGGATGTTACGGATGCTGTTATGGATGCAATCCATATTGAAGGCTGTATTTGTTTAATAACAGCATGTCAGGAAGGGTAAAGATGGTATAGGATAGGACAGGGTTCCGATCTGTTGGTTCATTGGGTCACTATGGGTCATACTCTACTCGATGGCATCTAACAGTACAACAACCTTCCCGGTGAGAGCAAAAGGTAATGGATGGAAGTACAGTTTTAGAAATCAATTTTAGGGATTACCTCCTTCAGGGACTATATCTAAAGAAATAAGAAGCAAAACCCTTTTCATTTAGAGTGATGTTTCCAGAAAAGTTGAAGAAGTCTCAGGAATGGTCTTTCTTTGGAGATCCTCTGGGTTAGGCTACTTTAGGAACACCAGAGAGAAAACTTTAAAATGTCTATTTCTTTCAATCAAAATAAATGCTCAGGGTTTGGGACAAACCTCTTTTCAAAGCCTTTGGTTTGAAATTTGATTTCTTCAGCTCAGCTCAACAAATACAAGGGCGGTAAACAGAGCTGAATTCGAGGGATTTTTTTCCTAGGATCCATAGAGACCATGGCTTGCTCATTCACTGCTGCTGTAACAACTCCAAGACTTCAGGAGTTTGATCAAGGGTGGCATCTGACTACTTTCCTTCAAAGATGAGGCATCTATTTGTGCCATCCAACAAGAAACACTTTCTCACAGCATTCTGCCATGCAGAAAATCTAGGAAAAGGCATCTTTGTTTTCATTGTAGGGATCCTTTTTAAAATTACTGCTCTTTTTTTTTTTTTTTTTTGCAGAGCTACAGTTTGGTGCTTCCTTAGAAAGTTGATAACCTAAAAAATTATTATAAATTTGTGAAATGCTGCACAACATGGATAAATCTAGAATAAAGAATGCTAAATTATGTAAACCAGTCACAAAAAGCCATTTATGAGGCCACTACTATAAAAAAAGTTAAGGTTTACACTAAATCAATTACTGCTCTTTTATAAGCATAGTGGGCTCCATCTGGCCTTAATTAATGTCTCTGGATCTGAATTTGCTTATCAAACCAGAGGATTTCTAAAGTTTCTCCCATCATGAAGATGCTAGGATAATAATAAAAAAGAAAAAATTTAAAACCCCTCATTGCCTTCTCATAGATCAAAACCATCTTATAGCTGACCAACCAGTGGGTTTTCAGAGTCTATAATATTCACGAGAGGTTACCCATCTTTCTCCTGCAGAGCAACTGATGGGTTGGGACCACTTGGCCTTGGGATGGTAGCACAACTCCTATGGTAGGCCATCAGAGCACCCTGTATTGAAAAAGACAGTGTTATACAAAAGGCAAGGGGCTTCAATTACTCTTAAAGGGTCTATGATCTCTGCAAGAAGGACCTGTAGAGATCCAAGTTGCTGTAGAAGATTTATGTACCAGTTAAAACTTGTGACAACAAATAGCAAGAAAAAGAATTTTCTGTTTGTAATCTTCTTTTTAAAACTAAAGTTTTGTCTACCCTGTAATCTGTAGTTAAGAATTATTAACTTTAGCACATAAATGCAAACTATGTCACAAGCTTGACTAGGCTGGAGAAGTTAGCCTGAGACATAATCACCAGACCAAAAATACCCAAATAAAAAGAAAATGTACTGTTTAAAAATAAAACAAACAAAAAAAAACCCAAGAGGATCAATTTGCAGGGGTCACTGTGACACCATGATTTTATTTTCTTTTTAAAACAGAAAGTCAGGTACTTCTTGGTGTTCTGGCATATATGTGAACCCCTCCACACCTCTCCAACAGCAATAAAAAATATTTTTATGTTTTCAATTCTAAAAAGAGTTATGACATAAGTGTGCTAATTCCAGCTGCTACTTTGAATACTGTAGCCTATGACTCTGAGTCATGGGATCTGTTATCAGGGTCCTTTCAAATGTTCCAGAGGGCTGTAATAAATATCCATTGTTCTTTTAGATAGTTTTACTACTGATTCATGGGTCTCTTTGATCATCAAAGACGTAAAAAGTTGTTTTCCTGTTGAATCTTAGTGGTCTTGGCACTGCTCATATGAAATATATTTATATACACACACAAAGTGTTATAATTGAAAAAGAGAAGCTACTATTAAGTGCTCACAATGTACAGATCTTCTGCTAAATAATCTTGCATGCTAGTTCATTCCACTTTTAAATCATTCACATTTTTCATTTTTCAAAGAAGCAGAAATGAATGTTCTCAAAATGGAACAACTCTGCTCAAGATCACCAGCAAATAAGAAGTAGAGCTGGAAATCAATGTGCACACATTGCATCTGCATTTTAGAGCCTCATGCTTGGAAAGGTAGAGGGTCAGAGAAAGAGAGCAAGACATTAAATGAGATGGACTGACAGTAACTGTAGCAACGGACTGGAGTGTGTCAGAGATTGTGAGGATGGCACAGGTTAGGGCAACATTCAGATCTGTTGTTCATGGGGTTGCTATGAGCCATACTTGACAGCACCTAACAACAAGCTTTCATTAAAACCAACAAAAAATGTTCTCTTAATTTTTCTCAGCAGATATAGTATGCCATCACATAGAAGGCTGCTAATTAAAAGGTCAGAGGCTTAAAACTACCAGCCACTCTGTAGAGAAAGATGGAAATTTTTACACTCCTCTCCATCAAGACGTACAGCCCTGGAAAGCTGATGAAGAATCTGAGTTAGAATCAGTTTGGTTAAGTATTTGAGTCGTTATTGAGTGGTACAAAATAGTTAGCCTGCTCAGTTATTAACTAAAAACTTCAATGTTTGAGCCACTCTAGGGCAGCTCAGAAGAGAGGCCTGGAAATCTGCTTCTAAAAGAAAATCATCATCTGAGAACTCAGACACACGTGTTGACCCTGAGGGGGAGTCATCCAATGGCAGCTGCTTGTTTTTATTACATTTGTGTTACTTCCCAATTTTCCTTAAATATAAAATTGAGAATATACTTAAATCATTTCAGTACTCATAAATTTTTCAAAATTTCTCTTTGTCACTATTCTTCTTATAAAATTCTTGGCTACAACTTCCCATCCCAAGTGTCTCTTATCAAGAAGCAATGGCAATAAAACAGTAATTATAAATTCTGTTCTAAGATTAACCATTGATGCTTCTAAATCTTTTGGGCACACTATTGGAACTCTATAAATGGCAGCTTAATACTTAAATTATCTATATTATTATGCTTTATGTAAAAGTTTACATATCGAGTTCTTTTTCCAATCAATACTCCATGCACAAATGGCCCTGTGATGTTGTACGCAATCCCCACAACACGTCTGCACTCTCCGTTTTTACCTCTATGGATTCCCATTATCATTTGTCCAGTTTCTTTGCCCCTTCCACCCTTCTCATCTTGGGGTTTAGACATATGTTGCCTTCTCGGGGTAGCTAAACATTTTAAGCAGGATCCCAAAAAATCACTTCTTTTTAAAAAATGTTTAGAAAAACATAAAAGAAAGAAAATGGTCAATTCAAAATTAAATCTGTTTCATGTCATTGATTCTTCTAAGTCCAAGTTTGCCACTTCCCCCCCATATAACCATTCAAAGTGTTAAGAGTGAAGAACTAAAATCTCTGTAGGGAATCTACTTTCAATTCCTTCTTAATGAAAGTTTCCAAGCACCCTCACAGGACACTGTGAATACACAGCAGACTCAGATACTTATCTGACCAGGCATTACCTCATCCTGGATTTTCACCACTGCTAGATGGGACTTTTCTGCCTCCAGGGTTTTCTCCTTCAACTGTCTTTGCATTTCTGCAAGCTCCCGGCGATTTTTCTCCTTGTAGTCATCCAGCTGGTTCTGGAGCTCCAGCGTTGATGTTCGAGATGCTTCCACAATGTCAGCCATCTGAAAGAAGTGCTACAGGTGTGAGCCCATCCTTCAAAGCTCCATTTGGGGCAGAGACATGGATTTGGGGTTCATTCAAGTACAGAATGTATCTTCTTTCCTCCCTGACTTCACTTAGCCTTTCCCAAGACTTTGTAAAGCGCACTGGTCATGAGCTGCCATGTTTGGCTGCCTATGTGAGGCCACCTCTGACTTGGTAGCAGCATGGTGGAGAGAACGGGCATATCCTTGGAGCTAGGTACACGGTCCTGGGGAGCTTGTATCCTCTGTTCTACTTCTACCAAGTGACTGAAGCATGGGCTTACTTTCTCTGGGTCACAGTGACATCCCCATTGGAAATACTAAAATCATACTATCTACTTTTTAAAATCATATTATCTACTGACATACTTTGGACATGTTGCAAGGAGAGACAGGTCTTTGGAGAGGGACATCATGCTGGGTAGAGTAGAGGGACAGCGCAGGAGGGGAAGACCCTCTATGAGGTGGATTGATTCAGTGACGGGGGTAATCGGGATGGGTGTGTCAGAGGCAGTGCGATTGGCACAGGATAGAGCAGGGTTTAGGGCTGTTGTACATAGGGTCGCTATGAGTCACAAACGACTCGACGGCACATAACAACAACAACTATCTACTTTATAGGGTTGTTATAATGAAAATAATCCAGAAATCATTCAAGACAAAATTATACTTAGATGTAAAATACCTATTAAAATGACATATAATAAGTTGTTCGGTGCCATGAAGTTGGTTCTAAGTCACAGTGACTCGATGCACAACAGAACCAAACAATGTCCGGCCACAGTCATTGCTTGTTTGACACTTCTGGTCAACATTGTTGCAAACACTGTAAACTCGTCTTTTTAAGGGTTTTCCTCTTTTTCTGGAAAGAGGATGAAAGGCACCCAAGCATCGAGGACTCTCCTTCATAGGGTCGCTATGAGTCGCCTACAACCTGACAGCACTTAACAACAACAACAACAACAACCTCTTTTTCTATGACCTTGTTTACCAAGCATGATATCCTTTTCCAGGGACTGGTCCTCCTGCCCAAAATCTGTGACATGTCATCATCCTCATTTCTAAGGATTATTCTGGATATACTACTTTAAAGACAGATGCCTTTATTCTTCAGGCAGTTGAATTTTTTCATCAACGTGGCAATTCAAAGGTAGCAATTTTTCTTAAATCTTTCTCATTCATTGTTCAGTTTCTGCATGCATATGAACGGATTTAAAATACCAGGCATAACTTCTAAGTGGCATCTCTGCTTCTTGTTGATTTTTAAGTTTTATTATTTGTGTGTCTGTGTGTACCGTCCTGGTACAGGAAGAGATTGCCCCTCCTTTTCCAGCAGAGCATCTGGTGGATTAGAACCAGGTATCTCTGCTTCTTAACATTTTAAAGTAACATTTTGCAACATACCTGACCAATGCACTACTTTTTGGTTTTCTTTGGGGGGGGGGTTTATTGTTGCTTGTGGACTCAAGAAAATGAACTCTTTGACAATTTTATTATTTTTTCCACTATTACCATGCTGTGTTTGTCCAGTTGTTGTGAGGATTTCTGTTTTCATTACTTCAAGATGTAATCCATACTGAAGGCTAACATCATTGATCTTCTTCAGTAAGTGCTTCAAGTTCACCATGCATTCAATAAGCAAGATTGTGTCATCTGTATATCACACATTTTTAATAAGTCTTTTCCCAAATGTGAAACCACATTCTTCTTCTGTAGTCCCCCTCCTCAGATGATTTCCTCAGGATACATACTGACTGTATGTGCAGTGAAAGGATACAACCCTGAAACAGGGCATTCCTAATTTGAAACCATGCAGTATCCCCTTGTTTGGTTCCAATGAGTGCACTTGACTCTATGGGAAGGTTCTCTACAAGCAAAACTACTTGCCCTGGAATTCCCATTTTCCACAATGTTTTCTATAATTTGTTATGATCTACACAGCTGAATGCTTCTGCATACTCAAAACACAGGCAAACATCTATCTAGTATCTTCTGTTTTCAGAAAAAGTCCATTTGGAATCAGCAATGATATTCTGTGTTCCACACACTCATTGAATTTGGCTTAAATTTTGCCAGTTCCTTGTTCATATACTGCTGCAACTATTTTTTTTATTATTTTCAGCAATAAAGCAATTATGTGTGACAATAATTATTTTCGTTAATAGTTTCTACATGCTTTTGGCTCACTTTTGTTTGGAATGGGAACAAATATGGATCTCTTCCATTAAGTCAGCCAGATGGCTGATTTCCAAATTTATTGACATAGCTGAGAGAATGAATATCAACCAGTTCATTTTGGCGCAGTAACTCTATGTATTCCTTCAATCATTTTTAATGCTTCCTGCATTGTTCAGTATTTTGCCCATAAAATCTTTTAATACTACAACTTGAGGCTTGAATTTTTTCCTCAGTTCTTCCAGCTTGAGAAATGCTGGGGATATTCTTCCTTTTTGCATTAATCCAAGTCTTTGCACGTTTTAGGACTATACTTCATTTTACCTTCTCAAGTCACCCTTTAAAATCTTCTGTTTACTCCCTCAATTATGTAACCTATTCTCCTTTTGTTTGAGCTACTCCACATTCAAGGACAAGTTTTAGAGTCTCCTCTGATGGTTTTGTTTTTTGTTTTTGTTTTATTTTTTGGTGTGCCCAAGTTTATTGAAAATATTACAGCATTGCAGACAGATTCAAATAGCTCCACCTGGTGGTTTGAAATTCATCCCAACTGTGGGCTGAGCGACCTGCAGGTTGGCCAGACTGCCAAAGTCCAAGAGCTTCAGCATTTCCTTAGTGTCATCAATGATTTCCTGCTCCAGGGCTGAAACCTCTGGTACATTATTATCTCTCCTTTCTCTCTCCTCCTCCTGCAGCTTAATAGAGATGGTTCTCACAGGCTCGCTCTCGATCAGCTTCATCAGATGTGTGACAGCCTGCTATCTTGTTCCAGAGCTTCTTGCTAGGAATAAAGACTATCTCCTCGCATACACGCTTGTTGGTGTGGAAGTCATTACCCAGGATTGGGTAGTAATTCTCAGTGACAACCTGGGCCGTCTTCTTCACGATCCCATGTTGGTGAGTCCTTGGTGAAAGAAGATTTCGATATATTCTTCTTTCCATTTTTAAAATCACCTTTTGCTGATTTCATGTATTATGTCATCTGAAAACATATTTGCTATCAGTGCTCTATGTGTCAAGTCTATTCTTGAAATGATATCTAAATTCATGTGAGTCAATTTTTTACTTTGGCTATTATGCACTTGTTTTCATTTTCTTCAGCTTGAACTTGCATTTGCTTATAAGCAATTAATGGTCTCTTCTGTAATCATCTCCTGGCCTTTTTGGATTGATGATATTGAGGTTCTTTATCAACCTTTCCTTTGTATAGATAAAGAATTTTAAAAAAACACAAAAAAGACATTTTTCTAGTATTCACTGCTTTCAGCCAGAATCCATCTGATATCAGCAATGATATCCCTACTGCCAAGGCCTCTTGTAAACCCATCTTGAATCTCCAGTGGTTCTCTGTCTATATATTGTGCTAGCCATTTTTGGATGATCTTCAGAAATATTTTGCTCGCATGTGATATTAATGATATTGTTTGATAATTCCCACATTTTCTTGGGAAAGGGAAAAATCTCTTCCAGTCACTTGGCCAGGTAGCTGTCTTCCAAATTTTCTGGCATAGACTGTTGAGCATGTCCAGGGCTACATCTGTTACTTCAAACATGCCAATTGGTATCCAATCAATTCCTTATTTTTTTGCCAATGCCTTCAGTGCAGCTTGAACTTCTTCCTTCATTACCAGTAGTTCTTGATCAGATGCTACTTCATGAAATATGTTGTTGTTGATCATTCAAATGTCAAGCATTATATGTATGGATTATAATAAATTATGTCTAACATTGAGATGATTGGACTTGCAGAATTTGTAAGTCCAAAACCTATACCTAGACCAAAAAGGTGATATCTGAACAGAGCAAAGGAATATTGCATGGTTTATCATTAAGAAAAGTGCACATTAGGGTTGTAAACTCTCTACGTATCTATTGAATCTGTATGTTGAGCAAATCATTGGAAAAGCTGGACTCTGAAGAATGTGGAAGATGCATCAACAACCTACATCATGCAGATGACACAATCTTGCTTGCTGAAAGTGAAGAAGACTTGAAATGCTTGCCACAGAAAATCAGACTACAGCCTTCACTCTGTATTGCATCTCAACATCAAGAAAACAAAAGCCCTCACCACCAGACCAATAAGCAACATAATAAGAGCTGGAATAATGATTGAAATTGTCAACGATTTCATCTTACTTGGACCTTCAGTCAACACCCTTGGCGATCAGTCAGGAGATCAGAAGACATATTGTATTGGGAAAATCTGCTGTCAGGAACCTGTCCAAAGTGCAAGGATGTCAGTTTAAATACAAAGGTGTATCTCGTTCAAGCAGGTATCCATCCAAGAGCTGGATCATAAATAAAGATGACAGGAAAAGAACTGATGCCTTCGAGCTGTGGTGTTTGAGTACTGACTAGCCCATGGGCTGCCAAAAGAACAAACAGGTATGTTTTGGAGATGGATGCAGCCAGAGATGCAAAGATGACAATGCTTCATATCACATACTTTGGTCTCATGTTAGCAGAAGCTAGTCCTTAAAAAGGGATATCATGCTTGGGAAGGTGGGGAGTGAGCAAAAGAGAAAAAGAACCCCAACTAGATGGACTGATAGGGTGACAGTTCAAATTTGTTGTTCCCAGGGTCACTGTGAGTCATTCTTGGCACCTAACAACAGCAACATCAACCTTTCCATAGATAGAATTTATTTTATTCTTATGTATTCCATCTGGTGGGACCACATGTATAACTCATTGCTGTTGGGTTGTTTTGGCCCATTCTAACCCTATAGGACAGAGTAGAACTGCTCTACAGGGATCCCAAGACTATAAAGCTCTATGGCATCAGACTGCCACCTCTTTCTGCAGGGAAGCAGTTGGCAGATTTGAACCACTGGCCTTTCAGTTAGCAGATTAAACACTTAACTACTGAACTCTTTTTCACACTTATAGTCACCTTTACATTGTTGAAAAAGGTATTTGCAAGAAATAAACTGATGGTTTTGAAAAATTCTATAAGATCATTGGTATAATTTTGGTTACCAAGGCCACATCTTCTAACTTCAGATCCTTCTTCATTTCCAGTTTTCACATTCAAATCACCGATAATTATTAATAAAATCTGACTGCATGCATGATCAATTGCAGACACATAGTACAGGTGTCCAAAAGTGGCAACCACTACTATCAGCTGCTAGAATGCAGGGAAGCAGTTTTGTCCTTTTCTTCTTCTGGATTTGTGAGGACAGGTAATAGAAGAGCAGAAACTACTGGGCTTTGAAACTATCCTAACACTGCTGAACAAGGAAGATAAGTGCTGATTCATAAGCAAGTTACAGATAATTAGATTCTGTTCTGAAGAACAGATCTGTGCTTACATGCCAGATAACTTCAAGTAATTTTATTTAAAGGAGCTGGGCTTAGAAACCATAGGGCACTATTAACATTTACTTCTAGGCCAGTCTCTCTGGATCTGGGTTCTCAACAAATTCAAAGAGTTGACTCAAGGATGTGCAAATCCCTGACACGTATACCTAGGACTGCGTTTAGAAATAACTGCATGTTTCCTAAGCTTTCATCAGACCCTCAAAGGGGGATTGGTTCCAATAAAAGAATAATACCCCCCACCTTCTCGTTTGTTCACACCTCTTACCTCCTTCTGAAGTTTCTCTATGGTCTTGTCCAGATGCCATCGCTCATTCTCCATTTCATTCTTCAGCCGCCTTAACTGCTCCTTCTGCTCAGTCTCATCTTTTAACTTCTCAGATAATTGCTTCTGCTCCTGGGTGGCCCGAGTCAGATTTTTCTGCAAGTAGCAGCGAAAAGATGGTTGGTTGTATGACCAACCTGTTAGGCCAGCCACAGAAATAGGTGGCAAGGGGAATTTCAAAGTCACACCAAGAGGCAACAAGACTTGTTATATCAGTGACTGGAGAAAAGATCACAATAAAGCCATCATGGAGACATAAAAACTATGCTGATTCTGAAATTCAAGCTCCAGAAAGGAGAGGCAACATAACCAAAAACAAACAGAGGAACAAAGGAGAGGCAAAAGGATGTATCACAGAAATGCATACAACATTCAACACGGCTGACACCTGACACATCAAACTCATTGACTGCTGTGGAGTTGGACCACTTCATAGCTGACCCTCCAGTGGTTTTTCAGAGGCTGTAAATGAGAGTAGATTTCCCACTTTTCTCTGCCTCAGAGTTGCTTGTGGACTTGAACTGTCAGAAAAGTATTACCTTTACGTTAGTTTAGCAAGGAGCTAAAAATCTGAATTTTCACACTTAACACGTTGCCTCAGTTTTAAAATTGACGGCCATGCTTAGAAACACATTTGTCGTCATTTGCAGCAACGTGTTAAAAAAAATCGAGGTAGGGTTGTGGAGTGTTGCAAATGATTAACATATTTGACCACTAACCTAAAGTTTGGCAGTTCAGGTCCATACATAGTACCTCAGAAAAAGGCCTGGCAATGTAAAAAAAAAAGACAATATCAACCACTGAAAACTTATTTCTGACCCATAGAAGGTGGTCATGTTGTTGTTGTTGTTGTTAGGTACTGTCGAGTACAACACATAGTGACCCTATGAACAACAGATCTGAATGAACCTGTTACATCCTGTGTCATCCTCATCACCTCTGACACATGTAAGCCCATGGCTGCAGTCACTGTGTCAATCCATCTGGTCAAGAGTCTTCCTCTCTTTCACTGGCCCTCTATCCTTATAAGCATAATGTCCCTCTCTAAGGAATACGCTCGCCTACCAACATGCTCAAAGCTTCACCATCCTTGCCTCCAAAGAACACTCTGGCTGCAACCTCTCCAAGAGTTTGTTCTTATGACAGTCAACAGGATATGCAGTACTCATCTCCAACACCACAGCTCAAAGCCATCAATTCTTCTATACTGTCGTTCGTATTTATTACCCAGCTTTCCAATGCATGGCATGTGACTGAAAACACTGTCAAGCTCACCTAGTCTTCAGACTGACATCATTGCGCCTCAGTAATTTGGAGAGATCCCTGACAAAAGACTTCCTCCATACAATGGGCCTCCTGATCTCCTGACTGCTGCTACCAAGGATGTTGATTGTGGATCCACAATGAGATGATTGGCAATTTCAGTCTGCGGGAGAAGGATGGGTAATCTTCCCATATGATTAGCTGCCTCTGAAAACCTGCCAGAGGGTCAGCCATGAGTCAGTTCTGACTCTATGGTATACAACAATAACAACAATCATGATATTTCTTATTGATCCAGTGGTGAGGATTTTTTTTTCTTGATGCTGAGATGCAATTAATATTGAAGGCTATACTTTGGTCTTCTGCAGCAAGTGCCTCAGGTACTCTTCACTTTCAGCAAGCAAGGCTGTCATCTGCATAATGTAGGTTGTTGATGAGTCTTCCTTTAATCTTTATGCCGCATTCTTGTTCATAGAATTCACCCTCTCGAATAATTTGCTAAGAGTACAGATTGAATAGGCATGGAGAATGGATACAACCTTGACACATACCTTTCCTAATTTTAAACCATGCCGTCGTGTTCCTTTGTTCTATTTGGACAACAGCTTCTTGGTCTAGGTATAGGTAAAGTGTTCTGGGATTCTAATTCCTCTCAATGTTAGCCATAGTTTATTATGGCCCACACAGTCAAATGCCTTTGTGTAGTCAATAAAACACAGATAAGCATTCTTCTGGTACTCTCTACTTTCAGCCATCTGACATTAGCAATGATATCCCTGTTGCCACAGCCTCTTCTACACCCAGCTTGAACTTCTGGCAGTTCTCTGTCAATGTGCTGTCCTAGTCATTTTTGAATCATCTTCAGCAGTATTTTGTTTGCATGTGATATTAATGATATTGTTTGATCCTTTCTACATTCTGTTGGATCACCCTGAGGCCAAGACAACTCCACAGTTATGTCGACACCACAGCAAACATATTTGGTAATCAGTATCCAATGATTATATTCTAGAATTTAATCTGCTATGCAAATGTTTCTTAAAATCAATATTGATAAAACAACGTCTCACAGTCAAGACTCAATGTCAAGAATCTACTTAGTGTATAAGTAGTTGCAATCAATAGAACCGATGGGTTGAAATGAGACACAGAGAAAAAGGAACTTCAGAACCTCTCAGTAAGCAGTGATCATTTAACCTCTGTTCCACCAGAGCTCTATAATGACTAGAAAACAGTGTTAAATGGAAGAAGTATTGGTTAGAAAAAGTGTATCTAGATGGTTATTTGGCAAATCAGCACCAAACACTAGTTTAAAGTACAAAAGAGCAAAGATACATATTTAAAGGCTAAAGTGTGCCTAATTCAAGCCATAGCACTTTTTATTTGCTTCCTTATGGATCTGAAAGTTGCACAATGCATATGGAAGGCCAAAGAAGAAACCATACCTTTAAATTGTGGTGGTGTTAAAGAGTACTGAAAATCCTATGAACTGCCAAAAGAACAAACAAATCTGTGTTGAAGCAAGAGCTACTGGGGTAGTTCTTACGGACAAAGGATGGTGAAACTTCATCTAATTGACTCTGGCCATGTTGTCAGGAGGGGCTAGTCCTTGGAAAAATACATCAGCTTTGGAAAGGTGAAGAGTCAGAGAAAAAAAGGAAGAACCTCCCTCCCCCAACAAAATGGATGGACACAGGGACTGTAGCAGTGTGCAGAGACTGTGAGGATGGCGCAGGATAGGGCAGGGTTCCACGCTGTTCATAGAGTCACAATGGACTCAATGATACCTAATAACAACCACTATAAAATGCATCTGTTGGATGAAATATCTCCCTGAGCACCCTTGACCATCTTATCTAATGTCATAAAGTTACATAGACAGAAGTCCTTCACATTAATAACATGCAATTCCAAGTCAAAATATTGAAACCTATTAGTAAGGTGGCTAAACAGCTATGTGTTAGGATCATCAGTGTGAAGATATGAAAAAGGATCACAAAGCCCACTGCAGGGAAACATGGTCCAAACACAGACTAGATCATGTAGAAAATGTTATCATATTATAACATAGGTGGGCACAATTACCACATACTAACTACGTGATCCCATCTCCAGGTAGAGGTAGAGTAAAAACAGTGGCAGAGTCATACAGTACCTACTGTAGTCAAACTGCTGTCACCTGCAATCACTCAGGTGCCTTGAAATAACCCCAGATGACTTCAAGGTTTGCACTCCTGATTTGCACAAGATCAGTCTGCTCTGACCCTCATGTGATCTCGTGTTGAAAAACCTCCTGAGGAAACCTTCTGGCCCATGGTCTGATGGGCTGGCTATGCTTTGAAAACCAGCCAACACAGCAGGACAGCTAAAGTTAGTTGCTGCAGGAAACCATCATCAACAAAAGTGGATGCAGAAAAGAAGGTGACAAATGCAAAGTAATCAGAGTTTCAGTGTGGGGGCAATTAGCAGGAGCTTGTCCCACCCCAGCCACAGCTGGGTGTGCTCCAGAGGGAGGGTCAATCCTGGGATTTCAGCTGATGTTTTATTTAGGGGTGTTAGAGGGAAGGAAAAGGCCTGGTGACTTGGTGGTTATGCTTTCAATTGCTACCAAAAGGATGTCTTCGGGGGGGGGGGGGGAACAGCATTCCTGGAGCAACATTCCCAAGTCAGCTTTGTCTTATATTGGTCTTTGGTCCTCCACTGAGGCAGATGCTGCTCTTGAGTAGTTCTCAGTCTGACTGGAATAGGAATCTTTGGCTCTGAAGGATGCACAATGCTGGTACTGAGATTCCCCTATTCTGCCGATAAATTGCTCATTTTAAATCTAGTAGGATGGCAAAACTGACCAATTTCCATCCTGAGTCATTTATCTGCACCCTATTTCAGTTCCTGCTTGGAAGGAGGAGTGGCATCCACTTCCATAATAGCTTGCCTCCAGAAACCGTAGGAACCTGGCGAGAGGATGAAAGGCACCCAAGTGCCAAGCACTCTCCTTCATAGGGTCACTATGAGTCGCCTGCGACTTGATGGCACTTAACAACAATAATATAAACAGAGAGAGAGAGAGATCAGCTGGCCCAGTGGACAGAAAGCGATGCTACCAAGCCAAAGGTGGGTGACTTTTAATCTGCTGCCCTCAGGCCTATCTTTCATTGTTTTTGTTCAGACATTCCTCTAGGTCGTATAGCCCTGGTGTACAAGTTGTGGTACTGCATTCACTTTTGGTTGCTGTGAGGCTGAACACCGTGACACTGGTGTGTCAAATGCATTAATGGTTGTCTCCGCAGTGCAGACAGAGAGTGGGGTGGAGCTCCCCGATTAAAACAAACTTGGAAGGAGGAGTGGCATCCACTTCCATAATAGCTTGCCTCTGGAAACCCTATGAACCTGGAGAGAGGATGAAAGGCACCCAAGTGTCGAGGACTCTCCTTCATTGGGTTGCTATGAGTTACCTGCGACTCGACGGCACTTAACAACAACAACAACATTTCAGTTCCTATCCAGTCATGCAGTAAAAGTCAAAGCCAATGGCTATGAAAGCCATTGTAAACAGTAAACCCAACAGCTGCATACCATAGTGAATTATGTCTAATTATGATTATTTATTATGTATCAGTCAAATAGCTGTAAGGGTAACTCACTCAAACTCATTGCTGTTCAGTCAGAACCAACTCACAACTGACCTTTTCGTGGGTTTTCAGAGGCTGTAAATTGCATGGGAAAAGACTGCCCATTTTCCCCATGGACTGACTGGTGGATTTTAATCACCTGCCTTTCAGCTGGCAGCTTAATTCCTTACCCACCAGGTCACTATTCTCCCTTTGCCCAAGCTTGATGGAAGACTGAGGAGAGAAGCTGTAATTGACAAGATAACACTGACCTAAGCCAGGGGGCAGAGAGCCTGTGGGCATGCTTAAGAAAGTATCCTAAAGGGAGCTCTGGTGGCCTAGTGGCAAGAAGCTGCGCTGCAATCCTGAAGGCACATGGTTCGAATCCATCAGCTGCTTTGGCAAGCTCCTCCTGTGCCAACTGGACCTGATTCAATGGGACACAATGTGGGGAAAAAAGAAGAAGCTAGTCTGACTGAGGAATTATATCCAATTGCCAACATGAATGATACCTTGTTAACTTTCCCAGTAAAACCTCAATAGTGAATATGATTCTGTTAGTCCTATGTGGTCATTGCAATGCATTTTGAATCCAGCAGTAGAAGAGTAAGACTCCTGGAGGATGGTTAGTGTTAAAATGAGCAGAAGTATGTACAGGAGTATGGGAGCCATGTATTGTTTCATTGTTGTAGATGGGGACAGTTCGCCTTGTGGAGTTAACAGAGGTTAACTCCATCTTCATCCTGTGTCACTCTTTTTACATCTTCATCCTGTGTCACTCTTTTTACAAGCTATATGTAAAGAGATGCATTCATTGGGCATGAAGTGCAGTAGATTCTACAATTCTACATTCACAAAGAGTTTAAACTGTAAAATGATGGCATGATAAAAAAAAATCAGTTGCTCTTTTCTCTTTATCCAAATGTTAAGCTCCTTCATGACTGTAGCTTTGAGAACAGAGGCATGCAGAGTAACTGAACTAAAAGAATATGATTATCTGGTTCCAGGATTTCTGAGAATGTGTTTATTTTAGAATGGCCGTGGGATTTTCATGGTGTTAGGATAGCGCAGGACTGGGAAGCAAGTTGTTCCACCGTGCACAGGACCACCGACTCGACAGCCAATTCAACAGAGCTAGCAACAACACTCAGAACTTCTGAGATAAGGAAATGCCAACAAAGAGAGAGAATTTGGAGTGGGGGAGGCATTTCAAAATCTTGCCAGATTGTTTTGCCAGTGGCTAGCAAGGCCACTTTCAGTATAAAGAGTTCCCACCATCTTCACACAGCTGGGAAAACAGGCCTCAACACAAGGACACATCAGGGATCATTTATTTGTAAGGCAAGAATAGAGATCTGAGGAGTGGGAGGTGGGCGGGGATTACATTAAGATGTTAGGGCTTCAGGCCATCATCTATCTGTTCTACACGCTGAATTAAATATTAGTAGCAGATTCACAGCTGGTAAGCTGCTCTCATATGTGAGAAACTTTCTCATTGGCTAAAGGATGATAAAGATGTTCTGGAAGACTAAAATTGCTGCACTCAGGGTTTGGTGTATAGGTGATATCAAGGTGCAGAATTCTGTCTCTGCGTGGTAAAAATGCTTCTTCTCCTCTTTTTCTGCCCCCAAATAGCTTACAACCTTAAGTTTTGCACTGGATTCAGTACCAGAGCCATCACAAGCTCTAAACTGCAATATGGTACAACTGCTATCTACAGAAAAGCAATCCAATCAAGAGTTTGCCACAAAGATGACGAATTAGCAAAAAAATTAAGAGAGATAAATCCAAAACAGGGCTAGTCCGACAACAAACACAAGAACAAACACATTTTCAAGGTTATTTCATATTATCAGGGGGCTGGGGAAGGAAGATAAAGGGTGTTATTTCTTAAAGGATCCTGAATTTCTGTTTAGGGAATGTTGGCAGTAGCTTAAACTCTCAAACTCTCACTCCCTAATGCACCCACCCACACAAATGACACTCTAATGAAAAACTTTAATAACTTTCCGCTTAGCCCTTAAAATCACTAAAAGATCCCTTCTTAGAAATTAGAGTAAGGGAAGCTCGGGAATAGGTACTTTAAAATTTGAGTGGGCAGACAGAAGACAGGACATAACTAAATCACACCAAAAATTCAGCACAAAAGTCAACTTAGAACTTCAATCAGTCTGTTTTTTAAAAAAAAGAAAAAGTAAAAAGAATGTACTTCAAACACTCTTTCTAACCTTCAAATGTGAAAATCTAATTTTCTAAGAACATGCTGATTTTGAATAGAGATTACTATCTAGCTTCAAGGGAATGACTTCCTCCTGCTCCTTTTAATAGTCATCTTAAAGGACTCGCTCTGTGTAATGTCTTTGCCTAGAGGAGAAGGGAAATTGGCTTCTGCCAGAAAGCCAACTCTACACTGCCTTGGGGAGTGACTCTGCCAGTGTCCTCACATAATTCAAATTCTATCTTGGGAAAGCTGTCAAGCTCTGAAATGTTTAAAGCAGGGTTTCTCAACTTCAGCAATACTGACATCTGGGGTTGAATAATTCTTTGTTGGGTGGGCTGTCCTGTGCATCATAGACTGTTTAGCAGTAGCTCTGGCCTCTCTCCCCAACTAGGTGTTAGTAGCACTCTAAACTCAGTTGTGACAATTAAATATATCTGCAGATATTACCAAACATCCCCGTATCAAACCAGGTGCCTTTAAGTTAATTAGAGTCAAGGCAACCCCGTGTGTATCAGAGAAAGACTGTATTCAGTGTGGTTTTCACTGGCTTATCTTTCAGGGAAGTGTATCACCAGGGCTTTCTTCTGAGGTGCCTCTGGGTGAAGTAAACATCTAACCTTGCAGCTAGTAACTGAGCATGTTGACCATTCGTATGACCTGTTTAGGGAGCTCTGGTAGAATAATCCCATAAGGCACTGTGCTGCTAACCCAAAGGTCAAGTATCTCTGGCAGCTGGAATCTACTAGCAGCTCCCTCCTCAGCATAAAGACGAACAATCTCCTCTCACAGTCTCAGAGACTCAAAGGGAGGGTCATCTAGGAGTTGCTTCAGACTCAACTTGCTGGTAATTAATTTTTGAGGTTTGACCATCCACCCATTTGTCTCCAAATGAGAGGAGGAGGAGAGGAGATGGGGAGTAAGCAGAACCACCCCCAGTTCAGGCTGACTGATCTCGATGGTAGATGAAAAGGAGCTAGCAGAAGGAATGGACCATTTTCCAGAAGTTCTTGCAATTTTGCTTCTCCGGGTTTACTTTTTTTTAAATGGTGTCATGGATTTATTATTCAAAATGGCTTTCCTAGCCATCAAACTGGACTTTCACCACATGACTGGGTAGGAGCCTGAAATAGGATGTGCATAAACTAATAATTATGGGACTGATCAGTTTTATCATTCTGTGACGTTTAAATTGAGCAGGTTCAGTAGGAGAAACTAGGAATCTCATTATCAGCAAGGAAAAAGAAGCAAATAATGCTGTGAGCTGCCTCTGGGGCCAGAAATTCCTGCACAAGTTAGTCCAGGACCTACACGAAAGCCTCAACAGGTACAGCAGAGGACTATTGTAAAAAGAGCAAAGGTTGAGTGGGGATGCCCATACTTTACCTTTACTAACTTCTCAAAGGGGAACTGTTCCAGTCAACAACATCAACAACACAAACCAATTCTCGTGAAGTCTGACATGTTTCCCACATTCTTGCTCCTCTTCCTACTCATCCTAACACCAATCTTACTTTAGTACTGGGTCCAAAATCCCATGTAACAACTCACAGATCACACAGAACCACACTGGGGAAGGCAAAAGGTTATAATACAGGTTTAGGAGAATATAGTCTGTACAGCTTCTGAAATGTGCTCAGGAACCTCAGCGTGGAGCCTCGCAGCTTTAGACTAGTATTACAAAGCTCTTAGTCCTGCCAATTATGGATCTCCCCTGACCCCAGTTGTCTAGCAACCTTGGGCAAAATCTCCTAGTTCTGGCTCCATAGAGTAGCAGTCCCAAGGTTCATTCATCTCACACCAGGTCTCTGGGTCTCTGGAGAGGCTGCCATGACTGCTTCTCCCATAGGCGGCTGGTGCAAGAATCTCTGGCCCCAACAGACGCACTACATTCTCTTACTCTTTCTTTGCTGATAGTGAAGTTTCTTCAATTCTGTCGCTAGAGCCACTCAATTTAATGGCAAAAGTAGCCAATCTCTTTGTGGACAGGCTAACACACCGTATTCACATATTCCCACGCATCAACATGGCAAAGTCAGCCAATAGGATAGGGAAGCTATTTTGGACAATAAATCCTTAATACCACAATCATAAACCCACATTAAACAGTGCTGACTTAGGAATACTGCCCTGTGAAGCCAGAGCCTGGGCCTTCACCCAAGCTTCCTAAAAGACGAGGGAGAGATGCCATAACTACAAGGACTAATAGAGCTTTGTCACACTAACTTAAGCCTCAAGGCTGAATGTCAAAGAGCCTGTGAGAACATCTGAGAAGCTGTCCTGACTAAGGTATTGTATTCTAGATTCCAACCTGACCTGTAACCTATTCACTTCCCTAATAGGCCCCATAGATTCACGTATGACTCTGTGAGGTCTGTGTGGCTATTACAGTAGATCTTGGACCTCATAATAGAGAAGTAAGATTAATGTTAGGACCAGAACATCAGCAGAAGTAGGTGCAGGAGTGTGGGAGCCTTATCAGACCATATGAGACCTGGTCTTATACTGTGGATGTTGCTGATAGAGACTATTCCCCTCTGAAGTTGAAAGATAAGCTATCTGCACGCCACCCTCACTCTTTTCATGGAGAGTAAAGACAGTGCTGTTTACCTGAGCGTCCTCCAGGTCACTCTTCAGACTCTTTTGTGCTGTCATCGCTTCCTTTTCTTCCTTTCTGGCACGTCCAAGGAGCTCCTCTAATTGCCGCTTTTCTCCCTACAGTGAAACAGTGGGTCAGCGGGTGCATAAATGTGTGTTAAGTCTGTGAATAAAATGAATAGAAGAGACTCCCCTGACCCCTAACGGACGCAACAAGGGCTGTGGTTACAAGGTTCCACTCACTGGCCCAACATGGCACAAGCCAGCCATGTCTCTGGGCATTTGCGCCAATGTGCAATTTCAGTTCTTAGCCAGGTGTTAAGAACCACATCATTCAGATGCTTTTTGAAAATATAAATAGCTAGGTTCACCCACTAGAGATTCAAGAACAGCTGGTACTGAATTGGCAGGCTCAGGCAATGAATGCCTGAAGGGAGGTTCAAACAAATTACTATGTCTTAGAACCTGAGTTGGTATACATCGACTTTTCTCTTTCTCTGGTATATACTTTCATTGTCATCTGTCATTTCTCACTACCATCTCTGTATCCTTCTTGCTCCTAGAGATCTGTCAGGCCAAACTATAGTTAATTAAAACCTGCATGACTTCCAAAGAAGCCCAGGTGGTAGAGTGCTTCACGTGTTGGAGGTCAATGGTTTCAGTCTATAAGTTGTTCCTTGGAAGAAAAATGGAAGTCTCTTCTTATCAAGATTTACAGCCTCAGAAAATCCAATGGGAGGTCACTACAAGTCAGTACTGACAAGCAGCAAATGGGTTCGGTGTCTTTTGGTATTTGACTTCCAAGACCATCAACTGTGTTCTTAAGAACAACAATTGAAAAAAAAAAAAAGAAGAAGAAGAAGAAGAACAATTGATCACAAAACTAAATTGTCTATCCACGTGCTTAGAGACCTCTGCTAAGCATCAAAAGCCTGCATGTTTCTAAAGTCTGAGATTTCAGGGCCGACCCATGGATTTTCCACCCTGACTGACTTATCAGCCCTGTTCCCAGGCCTCTTTAGAAACCTATCTCTCATTCACACTACTCTTTGACAAACAAAAGAAACAGCTTGCACAGAGGATGCATTCACCGTAGCACTGACCTTTCTCACTAAACTGTGATAATAAATCCCTCCCAGTCCTCAAACCACTCCTACAGGAAAGAAAGCTCAGCAGCTGCCAGAAGTGGCCAGAAGCTGCCCAGAGAGCCTTACCTCGTACTTCTGAAGTGTTTCTTTGGCCTTGGCTTCCTCTCCTTTCATGTCATCAAGCTGCCTGTGAAGCCGGGTGACACTCCGCTCCAGCTCTGCCACTCTCCCCCGAAGTCGCTCATTCTCCTCGTTTAGAGCCCTCACTCGAGCGTCAGCTCCGGCCTGGTTTTGTTCTGAAGTGTTGCTCCGACTAGCCAGGACCTCAACATTCTGTAAAAACATGGATGGGAAAACATGGGTAAGGGGGAGTCTCCAAGTGCAGGGATGGATGGCATGGATTTAAAAACCATTTATACGTCAGGCATTGCATTAAACCGGGGGTCAACAAACAAGAGCCCACAGGCCAAATCCAACCTGCCAGACAAATCCAGCTTGCCGCTTTTTTAAAATAAAAAATAAGACTTACCAGAACACACCATGCCCATTCATGTAATACATGTAATTTGCATATTGTCTACAGTTGCTTTCACAACAGAAAAGCAGAGCTGAGTAGTTGTGACAGAAAACATAGCTACAAAGCCTAAAAGGTTTAATTACTGAAATTTTTTATTTATACTAAAAAATTTGCCAATCCTGTGTTAAGTCCTTTATGTTCAACCTTAACATTTAACAATAGGTAGAAAAGAAGGTCTTCGATGAGAAGAATTGGCACAATGTTTGCAATAGGGTGGATATGTGAGGAAGGAGCCAGTAAAGGATGTGGTTTTGATCTGTTGTTCATAGGGTTGCTAAGAGTTGCAATTAACACAACACAACATAACACATAGGTGGAAACTATTCTTATCCCACCTAAAAGCTGAGAAAATTGAGCCTTAGGCAGATACAGAAATTTGTCAGATGTTATTTGAGAGAAAGTGCAATCAGGCAGATTGGACCCAGAACCTATTCTTTTTAAACCATCACTGTCTTCAGATGTATTCACCTTCCACCCTCTTATCAGACACGCCTTTAATGAGCTCTACATGAAAGGATGATTCTATTTACAGATTTTCTTTTAAATGTCCAATGTAAAACAGAAAGTAAGAGTTGCTTAAATTATGACAGAGTTCATAATGTTAAGCTCCAGATACTATCATCTTAAAATGAGCTCATGCTACACAAAATTTACAAGCGAAAGAAATAGTAGTAATCACAGGATAGGATAGTTATTATTAATTCTAGACATCACAAAGGCTTCTTAAGTTCTGCCTGAACAACAACCTGATATGACAATGAGTGGCTCTGCCCAAGGCTCCTGCTCTCCAGGCAGGTCTCTTGCCTGCTGTACATTTCATGACTATAAAGGTATCAGGAGCTCTGGTGACACAGTCCAGAGGGTGTCAGCACTGCTAGCCCAAAGCCAGCAGCACCTCGCTGGTGGTTTGAATCCACTAGCAACTCCAAAGAAGAAGGGTGGGCAATCTCCTCCCACGGGATTTACAGTCTTGAAAACTCAATGGAGGGTCAGCTATGAGTCAATTCCAACTTGACAGCAGTGAGTGAGTAAATGATATTACTCCAAAATGTAAACTCTGGTTCTTTTTATTCTTCCAAAATCATTAATTTATAAGAAAAAAAAATATTTTCAAAATGGCTATTAATCAATCATAGTAGTTGTAGGTTCCATCGAGTTGACTGCCATTCACAGTGATTGTATAGAGAGGCAGCTATGAGTCAGTTCCAATTCAATGGCAATGAGAGTGAGAATGAGCAAAGACAGCAGCTGGAAGCAGCACTGGCTTAATGGTAGAACTTTTGTCTTCCACACAGGAGACAAGGGTTCAAGTACTAGCCAAAACACTTGATGTGCGGCCTCCACCTGCCTATCAGAATAGGTTTGTGTATTAATATGATGCTGAGCAGTTTCAGCAAAGCCACAAGAATAAGATGAACTACAAAGAAAGACCTGGAAATCTTCCTCTAAAAATCAGCCATTAAAACCTAATGGGTTACAACAGTTTGATGGGTTTGATGGGTTACAACCAGTCATCAAGATGCTACCAGCCCGAAAAGTGTTTTATTCCAATACGCATGGGGTCTCCACGAGTTGAGGATCACTTGGATGGTAGTTATTAGCCATAAAAATAGAAGCATGGGTAACGACGTACACAGGGAACAGAATTCACATAGTCAGTCAGGTTAGGATTCTTTGGAAAATAATGCAAAGTTACATGTTTCTTCTAATTCTACCCCAAAATGCTCACAACCAGTTGAACTGAAGCTTCTGCTGACAACTTTCCAGAGCCTTTCTCCAGTCCTTATCCCCATCCTCCCCTATCTGGTTCATCACTTTCTATATCATCCATGAGACCATATTGCATTTCTTGAAAACCAAATGAAATGCTGCTGTAGAGTCAATGCCAGCTCATAGGGACCCTACAGAAGAAAGTAAAACTGTCCATGGGGTTTCTGAGGATGTAAACCTTTAAGGCAGCAGGTTGCTACAGCTTTTCCCCAGAGTCGCTGGGGAGTTGAAATCGTTAACCTTGGGGTTAGCATTTGAACATTCTAACTACTCGGCCATGAGAATTCCTACCATGTGTTGAAAGCACATCTAATTCCTCTCCAGTAGTCCAAGATATAAAATTATAAAAATCCTATTCCTTACATCAAGTACCACATGCAAACTGTCCTTCATAACGTCCCAAAGAGAGAAAAAGGAGCCTAGCACACAACTAGCTCTGAAATTCTTAGATCTGTGCGTCACTTTTCTAAATCCTTCATTAAGCATGTGTCTCATGGATGTAAGCAAAGCTAGGAGGTGCAGAACTCCACCAAGTTCTGGAGAAGATCTCAGGCAAGAGACCACTGAGGACAAACGCTGCTTCCCTCACTGATGAGCTTAGGAGATGCATTTCTAATAACAAGATGACAGAGGACGGGGTGAAAAGAGTTACACAACATGAGGAATGTCATCACTGTCACTGAATTGTACAGGTAGAAACATGAATGTTTATATTCTTCTGTGTATATTTTCAACAATAACAATTTTTTTTCATTTCAAGAAAAGATTACAGACATTGGTCTGATACCAACAATTTCAAATGAATCATTTAGCCACATCAGAAAATGGACTATTTTTTAAAGGATTATATTGATTTTATTTTTAATATTTTAACAATTACTCACTTATTGTCATAGTAGATAACAAATGTCCAATCCAGAACTCCAGGCACTCTGATTCCTTTCTCAAATCAATCATTATCATAAAGACAAAAATAAAAGATGTTCTATTGTCTACTGTCTTTCAAGACTGGTTGTCTCTTAAAATTACACAGATTTTTTTTTCCCTTTTCCCCTCTTAAATCTCTCAGGCTACCAGAGTCAAAAGGTGTTAAGACAAAATACATGAGTTATATACTTATATGCATGCTCATAGGGTGTAAGTTGGTATTAACTTCTTAGGGGGAGAGAAGCAAGAAGGATGGGCAATCTCCTCCCATGCCGCTGAAAACCCACCGGGGGGTCAGCCATGGGTCAGTGCCAACCCTTACGGAACAGAAACAACAGCAAATGCTATAGTACATTATGTGTCGTACTGTTAGCCAAAAGGTTAGAGGTTCAAATCCAGCTGTTCCTCAGGAGAAAGGTGAAGAGCCTCTTTCCATAATCATTTATAGTCTCAAAAACCCAAAAGATGATCACAATGAGTTGGAATCAACTCAACGGCAGTGGACATGAACCCTTAGGCTACAAGGGTTAAGCATTTGACTGCAAATCACAGAGTCAGCAGCCAAACCTACCAGCAATTCCAACCTCCTGGTAGTTTTATTCCTGTAAAGACCACAGCCCAGGAAACCCAATGGGCAGTTCTACTCTGTCCTGTAGGATCACAATGAGTCGGAGTCAACTCACAGGCACACAAACAACAGAAAATCCTAACAAGCATTGCTCTGACCCAGCAACTTCTCTTTTAGCATTCTACCCCATGTGTATATAAAATGGCATATGGATAAGAGTATTCGTTTTGGCACTATGATAGCAAAAGATTGTAAACAACAAAATGTCAATTAACTGAGCACTTGCTAAGCAAATTGCATCAATTCAATGACATCTTGTGCATCTAGATAAAAAGCCCCCCAAGAAAACAAAACAAAACAAAAAGAACACAAAAAAGCCCCCCAAAGTGAGGAAAAGCAAGGTATACACTAGTATACATAACTTGTTTGCATAAAATGTTAAGGGGAGGTACTTAAAGACTAACTTAGAGGGGACACTGGCTGCAGGACAAAGAAATTACAGCAAGAGAGAAAAATTTTCCACTGAAAATTCTCCTGTAATTTGAATTTTTAACTATGAGATATAAAAAATACTAACATTTAAAAAAAATACTACCATTTTTACAATAAATAATACTTTCTTTAAAAAAGAAAAAAATATTGGCCATCAGTGGCCACATGGGCTTGGAGGGCAACCCACCTCCTCAGTCAAGTTCTAATCTTCCTCCTTGAAACCCTTCCCAAGAGCATTCATAGAAACTTCTGGGCCCTGAAAGACAGCGGAGCCCCAGGAGCAGCTGTATAAACAGAGCAAGGCGCCAACTCTCCCACACTGGTGTTCATAGTTAAGCAATTCCTTTTCACCACATATAGCTGGGAAAATGGGAAGGGCCCAGAGGGCACGGGACTTGCACTTACATGAAAGTTCCTTCAACTTTTACTCAAGCAGCCCAAAGGCAGGTTGATGAGAGACATTGAAGGGGCCAAGAGGAACTGTTTTCAAGGGTTAGGTTCTTTCCTTTTAAAATTCACACAAATTCTGCCTTTTATACCATAGTTCATTGGTTGTTGGTTGGGGTGGGGTTTTTTTTAATTCTACTTTATATCTCCTTTTATATAAAGATACCATATTCTAAGATGTAAGTTGTAAGAAGATGCGCATCTCTTCTATCCTACAGCTATGCCAACCACTCTCCCCTACCAAGCACCCAGCCCACGTAAGTATCCTACCCAGAGCTGTTGTCAAGTCAGAACCGACTCATAGCTGACCCTCCAGAGGGTTTTCAATTGCACTAAGCCACCACTGCTCTTTAGCAACAGACATACAAATCACCTCAAGAATGGAAGTCTCCTTTTTAGCTCTGAAACTGCATATGTGATAATGTAAAGGAAAGATCATGAGCTCAGCAGGCAAATGAGACTCAAATCCATGCTGTGAAATGGGGCCATGGATATGTATGCAGTCAGACCATGCTGAACAGATGTTAAAGTACTCACACCTAAAGGAAAGTG